CAGGAATGAAAAACAGTATGGTCCTCTCCTTGTGATCCCATCATCCCTGGTATGACATAGTCTGTAACTCCAAATATTTTCAGTGACATTTACAGAGCATTGCACCTAGAGGCAATTAATCATACACACTGAGTTTGTTCTCTAATCTTGCCTTACAATATACCACGTTATTAGGATTAACTACATTATTTTCTGACCCTTTTTAGTACTTTAGCAGATACTGGTGTGAAATCCCTTACTCTCGTGATTCCATAGCAATATCTCAACCGCATTAATCATATTTTTTTGCAGTCGGCTTCTACTTTGTAGTCAAAGCAACATATACAGCAATCACAATTACTCTTGGTTGTGTGATAAGCCTAAAAGAGGAAAAGATGGAAACGTAAAGATGGTGGTAACTATACAGCCAAATGCCTAAAGCCCAGGATTCTCATTTGGAAGTGTAAAGTGGTAAAGATGTAATAAAAGTGAAGAAGAAGAAAATTCAGAGGTTAAATGAAATGCTCTCTCTGACAGCCTGTCCCTGGCAAAATCTGCTTGGACCATGTTTTAAAATATGCGGAGAAAACATAAAATCCTTTTACGAGCTGCCAATGGGTAAAATCCTTGACCAGCTATGCAAAGAGGGAGCACTGAACCCCAGGGTCAGGAGGAGACTCAAGACCCCCAGCCTAGGGGACACTAATGGTCATATTAGAAAAGGAGATATGCAAGCAAAATGTTTCAGAGTTTTAAGGCTAATAATCAACGGCAGCTGGTTATGAAGTTTACCTTGCCAAGAAATGTTCTGTAGATCTTTAACTTGATCTAAGTTTTATGCTCTGTTGTTCTCAAACTCTACCGGATAAGTAACCAAAAGACACAGCTCCTCAGCTGGCATGATTTGATTTCCCGTGTGTGTGCTTCAAGGCTGCTGTTGTCAGCCCACAGCAGCTCAAGCAGGGATACTTGAAGGCTTTGGAGAAGTCCAATAAACGTTGGAGGCTAAATCTCTTTCCATGCAATTGTAAACTTCTCCACATGGGAGAGAAGTCCTTTTGTGCCAGCAAGTATCACTGCAGAGGAGAAACAAGACAGCACTGAGCTGTCACTGAAACTCTCTCTCTCGGGCTATTGGGAATGCAACGGAGGTAGGACGTCATACACGATGACTTCCACAAGCATCCCATTCTGGAGTGTTTTTATGGTGTCAGAGAGTTTCCTTCAGCAACCTGACATGCCTAGAAATTGCCAGTCTGTGTTTATTGTGGAAGTAGCTGTGTCCTTAGCCACAGAAGAATTAACGAGAACAAGCTATGAACATCATGTCTGCTGTCGTTCGTCCAGAACTGAGCTGACGCTGATGCCCATGTGGCACTTTTCTCCTTTTCATCTTCCAGAAATAGGCATGATCTTTATTTTTTTATATACTGGTAGTTTGTGCAATACTTATTTCAGCTTTGTATATAATTTCACTTTAGTAATATCAGCTCCAGCAACATCATCATTCTTTGGTTTTTTTCTTGTTGAGACCAGGGAGGGAGATGTGCTGTCCTTAATATTGCACTGCATACATTCAGATGACCCCCCAAATATTGTTTTGATCTTTGAAGAATACATTTCATCTTTGGAATCACTTTAGGAGGGACTACAGGCAAGGTGCACAGGTGTAGAAATGCTTCTGTGGACAGCACCAAATTACCTGATCTCATGATGGCTAGCGTCGCCCTGAATTTCTTAGCCAGTAAAGTGCTACTGCTTGGATCTCTCCCACCACATGCATCTCTTCTCTAGGCAGGCAGCAGAAGGTTGATGGTTGTAGGTTGTTGCTTGCCATGTTCATTAAGCAACAAACAGTGTTCTCCAATCAAGGTTGTTACTGTCTCCTTTTCCAGTGCTGTAGTATAGAGTGAGATGCTAATAGGATGCTGAACTCCATCCAACTGAATATACTGCTGCACACATTCACAGACAGAATGTTTATTATTTTTATTGGAATATTTTGCTGGGAGAGCTCCTGCAGCAATCAGTCGGTTGTTTTGTTGTGAAGTGGCTGGCCGATCACCTCATTGCCAAGCTACCCTAAATTTCAGTGAGTTACTTCCTTGCAGCTCCATCTGTTGTCTCAGCTATGCAGTGATTAGCTGAAGAGCTCCTGGACCAGGCAGTCAATTAAGGACTAAGTGGCCTTGGCATACACACAGGCAAAGACTCCATATCCAGCTGCACCATGACTAGAACTATAGAGTAAACTATAGTTTACTTGAATTTCATCCTTTTATCACAGCAATAACTTAGATTCCTTTGATTTTGCCACAATACCTGAACTGTTGACCGCTGTTTCTGCCTTGTGTCCTCCACAGAGGAACACTCACTATTTTCTCATCCTCACACGGGAGTGCTCAAAAGTGTGATTTAAAGAGCAAGAGGCAATGGGTGGCTTCCCAAGAGCAAGATCTGTTGTCATGCCAGTGGTCTTCTGGCAGCTCCTATTTAGACAAAAGGAGTGAGAGAAGGCCAGACCCTCTGGGATGCTCCTCTTCACCCATGCCCCTTCCGGAGCACTTCGTAAGGAAGATTTCCCTTTTCCAGCACCCAGTCCAAGTTCTCTGAAGTCCAAAGTGTGTTTTGCGTTTCTTTCTGTGTTGCATGCACCCAGGACACCGGCCGTGTCACCCAACAGACAGACCAAACAGAACACGTGTTTTGCTTTTATTGAAAGCACAAGACGTCTTGCGATGTTTCCTTACCTGTGTCTACATGTAGAAAGTCATATGAACACAGCTACTGCCCTGCAGGGTAGGGACTGGGGACAACTTAGCTGTGACGATGGGGGATGGGTAAATGTGAAGGATTGTGTCAAATACAAAGAGATTAAGGATCTTTTATGGAGGGAACAAGGACTTCCAGAGTGTCTGAACACTGTCCTAGAGCAGCTGGATTGTAGCTCTTCACAGAGAGCAGGAAGACAAGAAAATCCACACCGGGAAACAAAAAGGAGCTGACGTGCAGATGAGACATCTGAGAGATTCTGGAGGAAGGCAGAATACCCTGTGTAACAAACAGACAGAAGGCATCACCCCAGTCTTTCAGTAGGGTGGTCATCTTTAACCACTCCTCTTTAGTTAAAGCTGGTGCACTTATCTGTTTAACGATGCTGTTCTTTCCCAAGAAAGAAAAAACTTGCCAACATATTCTCTTCTCAGCACCAAGACCAAAACGTTTTACACGCCAATTTAAAAATTGTCCTATTTGTAAAACCTTAAAATTGTGCAGTTTGCTTGGAATAGTTGGAATAAAATAGGAAATTCCACTCCTCCCACCCACCTTGCCCAAGTTACAAAACAGTGCAGAAGTATGCAAGGGTTTTTATTAATTGTTATTGTTTGTTTAACAGGTGAGTGACTGTTTTCGTAACAAAAAAAGTTCATGAAATATTTTGAAAACAAATTATTAGTGCATTCTACATATATATGGGCATTTCCAAACAAATAACTAATCCAGAACAATAGCTGTTGGGCAATATAAAGCTCACAATAGAACTTTTAACATAACAGCCTACAAAGGGGGAATGTTACAAAAATATGTAACACACCAGCAAACATGAGTTTTGGTAGAAGCTAACAGGATTGGTGCTTCTAAACCAGTTACACGCTTTTCAAAATCCTCCTCAAGTAATTCTGTGGTCTTAATACACTGACCTGCAAAGTGTCCATGAACAATAGTTCAACAATTAGTTGTGCAAATAATTGATACTTCTAAAAAAGTGAAAGCGAGTATCAAACATTTATTACATTGCAGCCAACCTTGTACAATCGAGCGTATGATCCTTCAACTTATATATTTATACCAAAAAGTGTTTTACTCTCTTGACTACATTTTCTTTAAAACATTTTGAGTGATCAGTAACAAACTATGAAAAAAATGAAAAAGCATAAAATGTTTGATCTTTTAATCCTAAGAACTCACGAATATGTACAAATTCAAGGCATGAATCTCAAATACATTGGCATTGATTCACTGGCTGCTGTTTGTCATCTGAGTTGCTTAACTGCCTGTACGTACGTACGTATGAAGTGTGCCACAGCTGTGTGGTCAGACACTTTCCACATCCTGAAGGAATTACAAACGGGGTAAGTTATTCAAACGAATTTGTTCTAGTAGGCATTTAGGGCATGTACATATGGCCAGCTACAGCGGCTTGGCTCAGGCTGTCACACAATAGTAACTCGATTGTGTTCTCACCTCCCAACTCGCACATGCTTGGCATCCAGACAAACTTTGGCCTTTCTGGTGTTTGTGATGATATCTCCTTTTTTTTTTTCCCCCAGGTCTGTCTATCTACTACAACTTTATTAAAAAAAAAATAAAAATCAGTACATAACAGACTAATAAATCAATACAACAGTATAATTAGTACCACCAAGGCGAGCAAAATCACAACTGGAAAAATGAGTAGTTGGGAAACATGTATTCTGTTTAGGAATTTTATTTCATGTTAGATACTTTTGGTGAGTAACTGGATTAGGTTGCACACACTACTTCAAAAGATTTATCTGCTGTCTTCTGTGCCCAGACTGAAATGAAACCAGGAGGAAATACTAAGAGAAAAACCCATATCTGCTGGAGGTCTCTGTTAAAATTGGATGGGCATTCACTTAGCTGGATTGCTTCCGAGCCATGCAGTAGCTGATTGCCTAGAGCAAACATGTTTGTCAAGTCTAGCCCTTGGTAAATAAAGAACTGCTAATTAAAGAACTGACAACCTACCGACACTAATCAAAGTCAAGGAACAGAGAAGACCAGACGTTATAAACAGAAGGGTAAACACTGCCCCTTTGAGGTCTAAGGCTGGATTAGAAAGGAGGAAGAAAAAAGAGTTATTCTCCAAAATACATGGCACATTTGAAAAAGAAGGTGGTTCCTACTGCTACAAGGACCCAAAGAACACTCAAAGTTTTAAGGGATTTCAAGCATGGAAATGCACTGTTTTCTTGGTCTTTGTTTGTTTGTTTGTTTTCATCTAGATCTGTTTCTTTTACTGCACTAACTAAATTAAAAAGCCCCCTATCTTTAAAGTCTGCAAAGCTTGTGTATCTGTAGGCTTTCATGGTCATGTGTATGTGAAGTGGTGAACCATAAGCTCAAACTTTAAGAGTCGTGGAAGAGTATCCTTCAGTCCTGGGAGATCTGAGACGGTCAGAGAGGGAGGTAGTGGCTACCAGTGCAGGTTGCATTCAGGTTCCTATCTGCAAATAACAAATGGGACCTGTTCAGGGAACAGAGCCAGGTACAATGGCTGTAACCCACGGAGGTTCCTGCAAGCTAACCAGGCAGCAGCACAGTGATGTCTATAATGGAAGCACACTGTTGGGTTACAACTAAAACTTTGACTGAGAAAAAAACCCTAAGTATTCTTAACATATCTCCAATATGATGAGAATGTAACTTTGAGTTTATACACTTCCTAGTATTCAAGCATGGATCCCTAGCTCCAATGAGACTTTCATGAATCTGTTTCTTTGTGTGTTATTTCAATTAGCTTCTTTTGGATGTTTCATTCATAAAGTACTATTTCTATATTAAGCTGGAAGACAATGCAAGACTGATTAAATTTGAAACAAGATCATACTATTCCCCCCCTCAGAATACTAATACATACATTTATACACATACACATTCACACATACATAATTTATATAAATGTATGTATATACACTTAGGATTTACGTGGCAAGTAGCTTGCTCAAACACAGTCTCTTCCAAACATCTGCTTCAGAACCAGTCTTGCTTAAACAAAACAAGCAAACTTAAAAAAACAATTAAAAAAAGATAGCATTGAGACATCATGTAAAACATCAGGGATAAGGAGTACAATGTGCTACCCCACTTAGGGGAGACAAATCCCACTTCTCTGTTGATGGAGTATGACCATCGACTAGGTAAATCACTCTAAATTCTGTTTTGCTGCTTCTGATACCTATGGAAGCTGGCATCTCTCTATACGACATGGCAGCCTGGAATACAAACACAACAGAGTTTAAGAGCATGCATAGCTCACTGGACCATCTGTTGTTAGACAGTGAAAGGAAAGGCACCGACACTGCACATCCCATGCAAATATAAGTGCAACAAGGAGGAGAAACGGAAACGCAGTAGGAGAATTTAACACCTTCACACTACAACTGTGATTGTCCCTACTATGCACGGTGGATCACATGAAATCCCATTACTTCCCCTACTTAGCGTTTTCCTAACATGGCCTTTTCTGCCCTCTTGAACTTCTGTAGTTCAATAGCTAGTTCCCAATATCTCAGATACAGCCACATAAGTCTTCCATTTTGACTTTTGTTTCTGTTCAGCAGATTGCCACAGTAGTTATCATGTTTGAAAATATCTTTTAAGCCACTTTCCATATGTAGAGCCATAGCAACAGGATCAGTTGCTGCTTTAACTAGCAGATTTCTCTCTATTTCTAGTCTCTGGCCTCTGGGTACAACAAGGCTGCAGTAGATGTCCTGTCTTTCTTTGAGTCCCTCTTCAAATTCTTTTAGTACAATATTGGCTCTCTTTTGCCACTCTTCTTCCTTTGCCAGACAACTTTGATACAAGTTACCTTCTGCTCCTGAGCGCAAAAGGACTTGTTTTTCTCGCTCTAACTTCTCCTGCTCCTGTTCTAGGATCCTTCTTTCTTCTACTAGTTTGCGACTCTGGGACACAAGGGCTTCACGGTAACTCAGGGTTCTGTGGCGTTCCTTTTCAAGCTCCAACTCCAAATGAGCGACCGTGCGACGATTTTCTGTGATTATATCCCGGTATTTGGCTTCCAGCTCTTTTTGTAAAGATGAGTGTTTTTTATAATATTCTTTTTTTTCTCTTTCTATTTCTTTTTGACATTCTCTGGTCCAGATCCAACCTATCACATATAAATGAGACTTCAGACATGAGTATAACACATATAACACTGATAGGTATGATTAATTAAGTACGATTCTAAAGAAGCTATTAAGTGGTAAAAAGCTTCCTTTCTTGCCCTCCCCAGTGATATTCACTTCTATTCACATGTCCCACAAAATGTATTTCTGTGGGTCCATGTTTCACAGTAAGTCACTTTAAATGACTATGTTTCCTTTGAAGTAAAATCCCCCCATGTCTTTTATTACTCATACACACACTTCTTGGATTAAAGAAGGAAAATAAAGTTATGGGGAAACAGACTGGAGGCTTCCAATGCAGGAACTACACTGAGGACTTTTCAGGTCCAGTCAATAAATGTACATCCGCAGCTCCTTGGGTTGTTACCTTTGGGCTCTCTAGCACATCACGTGCCCGCTCTTCTGAGAGAGCTGTGTAAATTGGAGCTTATTCAATACGGATTCAATTCCGTGTGTGAAAAACGGCCGTTGCCCTAACGCTATAAACAGTGCTTACCGTTACAAACGAGCAGACCAGAGGGAAACCCTAGATGGGGTATTACTTTATCACTGTACCGCTTCAGAGGTTCCCCTTTGGCGGGTGGGCGAGACCCCCGAGCGCGGCCGCGCACCCCAGCTCCGGCGGCCAGGCCCGGGCGCTACTTACGGAAGGCGGCCAAGCCCAGCATGGGCACCAGCAAGGCGTAGTTCCATCTGCTGCCGTCATCCCCGGGCTCTCGTTGATTTGGCAGGATGTTCCAGTTGGGAGGGTCATTTAAGTTATTCATCAAGGCACCCTAAGGCGTACGGGAGAGAAACGGGGCGTTACTTGGCCCGCTCCCACAGCCACCTCGCACCACAGCTAACTCCGGGACGGGTATTTCTGCCTCAACACCCTCAAACGGCGGCCCCATCGCTCGGGGAACTCTGCACGGACGCCCTTCATCCAGCCGCAGGCTCCGCGGCCTGCTCCCTAACTACCGGCCACCCCCCCACACGGGCCTCGGCGCTGCCGCTGTCACCGCCCACCCCCTTCCCCGTCCGGCGGCACGTTCGCCGCTGTTGTTGCCGCCGTCCCGAAGGTCTCCAGGTTTCCTCCGCGTTGCCAGGCCGAGGCCGCGGCCCCGTCCCCGCCGCCAAGCCCGTGGCGGGGCAGGGGGGTCCCCTCAGCGGGACAGCCACCTACCGAGCCGCGGCGGAGCGCGGCCGCTGTCACTTACCTGCCGGACCCGCCCCCTTTTTTCGGGCCGGCTCATTAGCCTAGAGAAGGAGGGGGAAGACGAGGGGGACAACGAACCGACTCGCCCGATCCCCTAAGCGCTCCCGGTCGTCTGGCCCCGTCCCAGCCAGCTCAGCTAGCGGGATGAGGCGACGTTTGGCAAAGGGGACACACACACCGCATAGAAGTACGCAGGCTCTCAGTCTTTGAGCT